TGTTAGGTAATTTTAAAGCAAATATTATTTCTGAAAAGCACTTGGAGATAATATTTGATGAAAGGACAACAGTGCAGCATAGTAATTTTGTGATTAATATTATTTACTTATTTTGTTACAAACAAGTTATAAATTGATCCTCTATTTCTTAGACTGTCTAAATACATCTTTAAAGATCTTTTAGCAAAATTTAACATTTGTATCACCCCCCACACACACACACAAAAAAAAATGGTGTCTTGACAGCTATATTACTGTATATACCAGTGGTTCTCAACCAATTTTGGTCCATGCTTCACTTGGTATTTCTAAAATTCTGATGCCGCCTCCCCCGCTGTAATATTTAATTCTTACATGTAGATACATACACGCAAAATATTTTTATGTATACATACTTTATATGCATCATATGTATTAATATGCATTAACATTAACACTCAGACTCACTAGAAAACAATTCACTGTTAATAACTCATTTTTGAAAGTATGGGGCATTCAGTGAAGACAGAACTCGATATTCAGTCATAATTGAGCTAAGAAGACAAGCTTGCTAACCATTACTTACACCACGTCAAAGTGCCCCTAAATGATTTTCTAAGTGATTTTCAAGTCGGAAAGTGTGGGGCACCAAGTGAGGATTCAACTGACTACTCAGTCATAAGTGACCTAGTGAAACAAGCTCACTAACCATTAGGCCAGATTGAAGTGCTCATCCACTAATATATATATATATATATATATATATATATATATATATATATATACATACACTGTATTTAGTGAAAAGTGCTCAATATCTATGATAGAGCTAACATATGCACTTGCATGGATAGTGGTTTGTAACCCCAGGTTTCACACTTTCATGATATTCAGACAAACTGGTTTATTTTTTCAAAAGTGGATCTATTTATTCTTTATTTGTGTTTGATTATTTGTGTGTGATGGAGGTGGGGGGGATTTTCTATGTTTGTTTGGGATGTATATATGAGTGTCATCCCAAACAAACCCAGAAGAAAATTTTTTCCACCTCTACCACAAACAGATAATTAAACACAAATAAAGCATAAATAGATCCACTTTTGAAAAAATAAGCCAGTTTGTCTGAAGATTGCAAAAGCATGAAACCCTGGATTACAAACTGCTATCCATGCAACCATTATATATATATATATATATATATGATATATAATCCACAGGCACTGTTTTGCTGTATCACAGCTCATCAGTATGGCTAGACATCTGATTGCCTCAAGCCAGGATCAAAACCCAACTGATTTGACATCAGTTGGAGATTTTTTCATATATATATATATATATATATATATATATATATATATATATTCAGCTATATCATGTTGAAACACTGGTTTCCATAAGACCACCAAAGTTGAGCCCTGTCAGTACCTAGATCGGTAAATACTGTTAGCTTGGATACACAGGTGGTCTAATGAATAATGGCTTGTAATTTCTAATCCAAGAACCAAGTTCCAATTCTAGTTGCATTCATTATAGTCACTTATGCACAAATACCCTTGGGAAAGTTATGAATACACTTCTTCTCCCCCCCCAGCTATAGGTTAATTAGTAAAACTTGTCACTAAATCGTTATCTTTAAAATCTAAAAATATTTTCTACCTTAACCAGCAATCTGCAAAAGAAAACAAATTCATCAATAGCATTTATCATGTAGCTTATAAATATGATATCTCGTAATAATTACAAATATGATATCTCGTAATAATTAGAAATATGATATCTAGTAATAATTCAGTAGATTTGTGACCCTGATGTGTGCCCAAAACTTTGAAGTTAGTCAAAAGATAAATCATTTGAACCTTTATTAATTTATTGAATATTATTGATCTAGTTATATACTGAGCACTTTCTTGACAAAAATTTACTATCATCTTGAAATGCATTAAGTTCTAATAATTTGGGATATTTTAGTTTGTATTATCCTGAATTTATGTATAAATTCATGGAGGTTTCACCTGTACATAATGGGTATTTAGATAAAAGGTTTTCATTTTTTTTTTATTAGTATATTTCAAATTTATCAAAATTATTCTTTTCATAATTTCAGACAGCTTTTTTAAATATATGAATAAAATTTTAAGGATTGAGTGATTTCAGTGAGATTGATCAATAAATTCTGTTATTTAGACATACTTAATATAATCAACTATTTGATTTACCATAATTCCACATCTATAATATGCATTTTTTCTAAACAAATAATAAGCAAAATTAGGGGTGCGTATTATACACAGCTACAAAAAAAATCTTTCAAAAATTGCCATTTCATAGGTTGATTTCCGTTGCAAAATGACTACTCGCCAGAAGCATGCAACAATTTGACACTAACATTTGGTGACTGCGATCTCATAAGGATGTCAAATACAATCACATGTACCTAAAAATACTTATAAATATAAAATTAAATAAGAATTATCATAAAACTAAATTAGAATAATATTATTCTATGTTTAAAACCATTTTTTAAAATAAGACTAGGAAACATTTGCTGTAATGAAATTGAAGAGGTACACTTTATAGGGTATGATTATCAAGCAAGGGGTGGTATTATGCATGAGTTGAAGCATTTTCCCACATTTTCAGCACAATTTTAGGGGCACATATTATGGATGAAGGTGTATTATACATGGGGGAATTACGGTATTCTTTTTAAATGAAAATTTATGAAAGCAGTCATTTGTGTCTGTGACATTTAATCACCGGCCCTATGGCTTCATCTAAATAAGTGCATTGAAAACATTTTCCAATATTTGGGAAAATATATACATTTGTCCTTGATGATGGGTTAAGATGGCTGAATCTAATGAAGAAATCATAAATCATTTTGGTGAATTGTCTGAGATTATAAACAGAAAATAGTAGTCATAAAGAATATTTATGAAATTTAACATTTTGAGTTTATGTAAATAGCAAATTAGACTAGTATTTATAATGTTTCTTCATATTTCACAGTATTCACCCTTTTCCAGGGCAAAAGAAATAGATAAAATTTTATGTCAATTAAAATAAGTGAAATAAATCAACAAGTATGTATTCTGTCACTGATATGGTGGCTGTATCAAGACGGAGAGCGGAAGTGACATGCCAAGTTCAAATTCTGGCCAATTTTGTTGCATTCACTTTTGTACAAATATCTTTAGGAAATGTATGAATTCATTTCTTCTCCAAGCTTAATAACAGGACAGTCTAGGCTCTCTATCCTTAGCTTGCTACCAGTCTAGGAGAAGGATGAATCTGAATTCAAAATTGGTAAGACATGTCTTACTGGTAACTCCACCTCATGAAAACGTGGAGAAACCACAGCAGCGACACCTAGTGTGATGGGGCTGTGGCACTATACTCCTCAAGGAGAAGTGTCTAATGGTAGTAAAAATAGCTATATTGACATTTGTATATTACAATTCACATGTGAAGAAATACATCTCACAGTGTTATGCATGTTAATTGATTTTTCTTACTCAAGAGTGTATAATTTCTTTTTCATTTTTCTTTTTTTTGTTCTTTTTTTTTTCGTTCTTCTTCTTTTTTTTTCGTTCTTCTTTTTTTTCGTTCTTTTTTTTTCGTTCTTCTTCTTTTTTTTCGTTCTTCTTTTTTTCATTCTTCTTTTTTTTCGTTCTTCTTTCCTTTTCCTTTCCTTTTTCTTTCCTTTTCTTTTTTTCTTTCCTTTTCCTTTCTTTTCATTTTTCATTTCACTCCAAGCAAAGCAACAATGCCACTAGAATACAGGGGGTTACAGGGAGTGAATGAGAATGAGAAAATTAGAAATGTGAAGCATTGAAGAAAGGACAAAAAAAAAAAAAAGAACATGGTTTGAGAAGACAAGATGGCAAATGACATTGCATTTAAATTTTTGAAAATTGTAATTATCAGAAAAGCAAAAAATCTGAAGGGAGTTCCACAGGTAGGAAGTGCAAGAAAAAAACTTTTAGTGTAGAAGTGGTGGTTCTATCTAGTTAGTTCAACAGTAAAACAGTGAGACCTAATTGCCAATCTAGCTTAAATTCATGTAAAAAAAAAATATTCATCACAGCACTTACCATGAAAATATTATGAAAATGTTAAATAGACTTTCATGAATTTATATATTTGCATATTTTTCATCATCCATTAGTCTCTCTTTTGGGGAGTATAGGGGATCACAGTCTCACCACCAGGTGTTGCTGCTATGCTTTCCATAGTAAGTTTTTACTGATTGTTAGCCCCCATGCATTAACTGGTTTTGAATTCAAAATTATTGTTGTTCTAGACCAGTTGCCAACCAAAGCAGCTATTTAACCCCTAGCTGGTGGAGAGGGAAAGAGATGGATTCATACATTTTTAAAGTTGTTTGTGTGAAAGTGAAGTCTGATGGAATTTGAATTTGGTATACAGATTCCACTTTATGATAGCTGCTATGCTAAATGCACATTTATACATTTGTATAATAAATATATTAAGTATTCATAAACTGATGCATTACAGTAGTGCTTTTATGAATGTTTTTTGTGAGCTAATGCTATATATATATATATATATATATATATATATATATATATATATAACTTCTAATAAGTATTTTTTTATCTCTGTACATAGATGTGTATCTCATTGTATCTATTCTGAACCATAAGTATACCTGACTTATATTCATGCTTCTAGGTCTGCCTTTTTTATGTGCTTTCTCTCTCTCTATATATATCTATATCTATATATATATATATATATATATATATATATATATATATATATATACACACACATACAGAGTATTGGTCTGCATTTCTTCTTGCTTTTGAAACCTATGTTAGCATTACCAGAATTGACTGTCAGTTTGCAGAAATCAATAGAAAACCATACAGACATGTGGTGCCATTGCTTTTTCTGCCAAGACTGCTACTAGAATTGGTGCAAGGCAACAGGCAGCATGAGAGGGGGAGTAAGAGGTACAGGAATGGTGGGGGGGTTGGTAGTAGCAGGCTGCAATAATGATCTGCCAGCCCCCTGAGTGCTTGTCACTTGCAATAGTGCCTCTATGTGGAATCTTATATTCATAGCTAAAGTACCTGCTTTGGCCTCTCTAGAGGGAGAGAGAGAGAGGTAGTTGCGAAGAAAGATTCTTCTCTCTTCTCATGTGAAGAAAGACTTTTCTTTTTCTCCCATCTCGCTCTCTCTCTCTCTCTCCCGTCTCCTTTCTCGCCCCCTTTCTTCCTTTTTTTCTGTCTCTCCTCTCTCTTCACTCTTCTCTCCTCTCTCTTCACTCTTCTCTCCTCTCTCTTCACTCTTCTCTCCTCTCTCTTCACTCTTCTCTCCTCTCTCTTCTCTCCTACTCTCCTCTCTCTTCACTCTTCTCTCCTCTCTCTTCTCTCCTACTCTCCTCTCTCTTCTCTCCTCTCTCCTCCTCTTCTCTCTCTTCTCTCCTCTCTCTTCTCTCCTACTCTTCTCTCTTCTCTCCTCTCTCTTCTCTCCTACTCTTCACTCTCCTCTCATTTTATCTTTTTCCACCTAAAATTTGTTAGTAAATGTGATGGACATTTTGTAATATACATACACATGGCATTCCTTCAATTTTTTTCGCTTTGTCTCTGTCACATGCCCAAATAATATAACATCTTAAAAACACACATTTTTTTTTTTTTTTTTTTTTTTTAAAGTTCTAAGGCCATCTTGTTCTCACTCACTTGAATTTTTTTGCTTTTCTCTCTCTTTGATCAATGTATGTTTCTGTGGTGCACTTGACCCTCTTTTGCCTCACACAAAAAGCTAAGGAAAGTAAATCCTTCTTCTC